ATATTTTACAAGTTTTTACATGTTCTTCAAATGATCATTGTCGACAAAGACAATGTAAATCACTATTTACAGAACATTTACATGCTGTACTAAAAGCTGTAAATTTCCTGTAATTATATTTTACAAAACCCTAACATGTAAATTGTAATTTACAAAGAATGTAAATCAAGATTTACATACTGTAAATTACAATTGACATGTCCATGTAAATTTTCAACTTTTCCAGTGATTGCTGCCAATGAGCTGCAAGCTCGTGTCATGGCTTTTTTTTTTAATGAAAAGCCAATAAGACAGCATTTGATAACGGACTGTTGTCAGTGTCCCCAAAATGTGTGCTCTTACTAGTAATTCACGATCTACTAAGAACAAAAACGCCACGACTTGCAATTAGGCTGAATCGTCCCATCCTAAGAGAATAGCTATACCTTTCATGCCCAAGCGGGCCGCTTGATTTTTTACAATAACTACTGAAATTCTTGCGCGCTCGCCTTTGGCTAATTTTCATAGTCAATACGCGGAGAGACTCGTGAATTTTTAATTTTCACTCAAATTTGTCCCTTCTGCCTTTTTGTTATTGTAAAAAAGGAAAACAAATTGACATCAGGTTTCAGGTGCATGCGTCTGTCATGTCAGTTGACAATGAATTTCGTCACAACATTGTCAAAGTAGCCTGCGGATCAACTCGGCTGTCGCTCATGGTCAATAACAGGACAGACGCATGACAAACTGACACGTTTTAAGTCCTTTTAGCCATTAGCTAGGACGCGTTCACGAAGGCAACTGTCAATATCGCTTTTTATAACGTCAGGGATTACATATCAGAACATGCCGTAAATCGCCATCTTGATCTGCTGTCACAACTGATACAACGGGACAAGAATCATCCCTCTGTAGTTATGTGGTCTGTAGCTAGCCATTCCGCTACGGCTTACAGCAGAAACATCGGTACACACCTAAAACGAATGATGAGTTTCACGAGGGAGATGGACTTACAGAAACGCCCTGTTACATACGTCACGTCATCTAGTGATAGGTTGATGATAGTGGAGGACCCTGCGGTAAGTTTATAAGGCTTCAAGATCAAACCTTGCACATGTCTCTGAAGTGTAATGTGTTTCTTGGCTAAAGATTGCCATCCCCCTCTTCATGTTCAATCGCTAAAACAAGCTGCAGCCCCGCTCCCCGCCGTGCTCAGTTGATGCGTTTCAGTATTAGGGTCCACAAATTGAGAATTTGTTTTTGCTGGAACAAATTAATGACCATATTATGACTATTTTTTATGTACTGATATAGTGACTGACCAAGCATGGCAGCAAAAAAAATTGAAATTCGTTTTTCAGGAACTTCCAGGTTCCCCAATTTGCTATTGCTTTTAAAACAATATCAAGGTAATTATTATTATGTCGTGATTCGTACCGGTTGGAGATCAAGGAAAGTGCAGGAGTGTTCTCCAAGTAAGCAATGAACTTTCCAGTCTAGGCTGTTTTTCAGTGTTTAACTTTTAATAAGAATAACGTTTTTCAGGAGACCGCGTTCTCCTCCCCTCTGGGTTCCTTCCCGCTCTACCTGATAATTATGGCCAGGTACAAATCCTTGGGTAAATGGCTCTTAGCCACTGTAACTAAGGAGCGTTTTTCCTCCTTAAAAGTAGTTTTATTTTTCGACGCACAGCTTGAATTCTGTGACGTTATTTCTTTCAATCGTCATTATGGATGGAATTGGTACCCAGGCCAACCCAACTTGATAGCGAAGGCGTTGGAGGAGGATCTGCGCGGTTTACATCACGTGTTTGGTAAACCAGTTCTCATGGCCGAATATGGAAGTAGCGCTGTCGCTGGGATACATAAGGTAACAAAAGATCCGGACAGCTGCAATGATGATAACTACGATAAACTCTTTCATGGGTTCGAAATTCTTGTTGTCTGCAAAGTCTCGCCCATTTTTGTGAACTAAATTTTTATTTTATTTTGTCCATTGCTGCAGAAGCCGTCTTTGCTTTATACAGAGGAGTACCAGGTAAAAAAGAAACTCACAAAATCCTTTTGAAAATTAGTCAGTTTATTTCACTCAAAGCCACACATCCCAAGCATCAATCATTCGCGTTCAAGTGATAAAAGAACATCCCCTAGTACCCAAGTAGAACGCTTGCGCACTAAATAGAAGCCATTTCAATCGAAAACAGTTGTACAGTCATACTCTTTGTTTCTTCTTGTTTTTTATGTAGGGGAGTATTTCCTCTACGGCAACTGAGATGTTGTCGTCGCTGCCCTTACTTGTCCATGCGGAGTCAAAAAGTATAAATTGCTATTGGGAGTGACACTAGCGAGGAGTAATAATGATAATGATAATGATAATAATAATGATAGTAATAATAATAATAATAATAATAATTACATACACTTTTTTTTACGACGAGTTGCACTGGAATGAAAAGTACTGAGGCCTGAATTTTTCTTACACTTTGGCGTAATTTTCGTACACTTTAGCGAGCTAATCTGACAATATAGATAAGGATTTGTCGTTTCTTAGTGCTTTCTATTCTAAAACTTTTACTTTTTACTTGTTTGCAGGTCGATACAATGAAACAGTATTTTCCTGTGTTTGATCGACTCAGAAAAGAGTTTTTGACAGGAGAAATGATCTGGACGTTTACAGACTACAATGTCCTAGAATGTATGTAATAGATTGATTGAGGTAATCTTTGTCGGAATGTTAGAGCAGTTTTCATTTGAGAGTCGATAAATAACTGGTTTTACACCAACAACACTACACGATTTGCGTTAAAAAAATTGCGCTACTTTTTCATCCAATCACAATTAAAACCACTCTGTGTAATTACTTCGAGTATTGCTTGGTTAACCGGATTGTGAGTGGTCAGAGTGATTTCTTCGGTTTTGGTTTTACGACACAAAATTGAAAACGGCTCTAAAGTTCGTACTTATTATTTAGCTCATGTACTTTGAGTTAAGTTTTATTCTAAAAAAATTGCTGGCATGCAACAAAGCCACCTCAGCACAAGCACAATGATCTTTTCTTTATGCTCACTTACTTTATCCCTTGAAAATGACACTGCATTTCATCATTTTCGTTATGTGGGCTATTTTACTCATTAGATTCACTTCATCTGAAAGAACTAAGATTACTGATTTTATAGAATAGTTCGGTAACAATTTTTAACATGATTTTTAATTATTCCTCTGTAGTTTATTGTACCTTTGATTAAGAAATAGTTTTTAAACAGCTTACTCTTATTCTCGTATTTCTAGTAAATGTTTTGCCATTTTATGAAAATTGACTCTAATTTAAAGTAAAGAGTGTCCACAATTAGTTGCACAAGCTGAATATCTCCGACACTTAAAGAAAGTTTATTCATTCACTCATTCATTCATTTGATGAAAACAGCGGGCAATTTTCTGAAAATGTTTTTCAAAAATAATTCAATGCTTGAACAGCTTGCGCTCAGATGAGTTTGATGAGCTCTAATAGGAGCCCATAAAATAAGTGCAACGTCCTTTAACTAATTAGAGCAGAGATGGTGTAGCCTTGTACGGCAATCTATACCAAAAACATTCGCTTTCCGCTCCAGCCACCAGTGTTTTGTTTTCAAACCAATTCCTATTTGTTCAGTACTACATGTACCAGCTTTGCGATGGTTCTGTTAATTTTGTTCTGATGGCTTTATTTGCCTTCCAGCCTACGATGTCCTATCAACCAACACAAAGGGACTCTTGACTCGTCAACGGCAGCCTAAAGCTTCTGCCCACGCGCTACGGCAGAGATATCAAGCCTTGGCCATGGACGCACATCCGAGGTTCACTGGCGACCAGTTACTGGATGCCCTTATAAGGTTCAAACCTCACGCTGGAGACCAGTCTCCTATCAGTCATCAGCAGCGGCTTCCTGCTTTGATAAGAGAGGAAAGAGTCAATACCACTATACGGAAACGCTCCTTGGACGAAATAATGACATTTTACGAGCATAACTGACGCAATGCATTCATATCGTAGATTAGTTTAGAATTAATATTACGTCCAATTAACTATATCGATGGATCGACCTGGTCTTTTTATTCATCCTTTTCTTAAACATAAAAGTAAATTTCTAACAGACACCACTAATTGTGACGATAATGGGCGATTCGCTGCCGATTCGTGCAGCGATTTTCCCATGTAAAAAACCATTATTTCATTCGAACTACAAGTTACTAACATGCACGAAACGCTTATTTCAGAAAGAGAAGAACCTTGTGACGATTACACCGGCTGATTACGTAAACCGCTGAGAAAAAGAAAACGCTGTGTATTGCATCGTGATGTTAATCAGTAATAAGCGTATGTGTTCAGTCTGAGTATTCTGACCGTTCCATCATTTCGATCTGGTCCCGTAGGTTTCCATTGACGTTACCATCACACAGCTCCAGAGTATTTTCCTGTTCGATTCCTGAGTATTGAACTATCCCATACCTCCCGTCTATCTTTTTCTCGAAAATTCATGGGGAACAACACAAAAATCATGACTGTGAGCGTGACGTGTGAGAGTAGCGTTGCCCGCGCTACTTGTGGCTCGCGGCTTCGCTTATCACGCAAACTCCCACGACTGCTAACTTTAACATGTGGCGTTCTTCTTTGCGTTCTTCCCTACGGATTTTCAGGCAAAAGAGAGACTACTCGCAGTCTACATACCCCCTGGCTTCTCCACCCCATTTTTCTCGGAGTGAAGGCTCTGGGTACAAGTTTGGCGATTTGTGGTGAAGAATTACAAACATCAACAAGCATGGCTTCAGTTATTGTGCCTCGAGGACGAGGTTTATTGCTGTTTCTCTCAGTAACAGTTATTGTTCTGCTCATTCTTCGTGCTTTTACAAACATCAGTTTTGGTGAAGGTTCAGTCTTCGGTAGTAGAAGGTCAACGGAAATAAAAATGCTCACCTACAACATTTGGTTCTCTGATGAGAAGATGCGCGAAAGAATGGAAGCCTTAGGTGAAATCGTAGAAGATCTTGAGCCAGATCTTTTGACTTTTCAAGAAGTCACTCACGACAATCTCGCCGTGTTACGAGAGCAACGCTGGTTTTCGCGATATCACTTGGTTCCATGGCCGCCTGACCTCGCGAAAGAAGGAAAGTCGCATTTTGTTGTCATTTTGAGTTCATTTCCTGTTGAAAGATGGGAAGTTTACACCTTAAAGACTTCTCCACGTAATCGCACACTTGTTGTGGCAGAACCAAAGAGCTCTACATCGTCGGCGGAAGTTGTATTTGTGATTGCAACCACGCATTTAGCATATTCTGGTTATAATACTAAACTACGCGAAGAGCAGTTAAGAGAGTCTGTTAAGATTATTTCTGCTTATGATAATGTTTGTGTCATGGGTGATTTGAACATTCAAGATAAAGTTGATGGAGATGTAGTTCTGCCATCGCCATGGATTGATGCCTGGCTGTCAATTTCCGGAAATTCTGAAAGTAATGGTTACACCTGGGACCGAAATAAGACACCATTTGCCTCAGTGCTAAAAAGTACTGTCAATTCAATTAGTTACCAAATTCGGCTTGATCGTGTTCTTTGCAAACTGTCAGACTTTAAAGTTAAAGAGATGAGAATTGTTGGTGATAAGGTGACAAAGTCTGGGGTTCGCCCCAGCGATCACTTTGGTCTTTTTACAGTCATAGAACTGGTACAGAAAACTGAACACAAACATGACAACAGCAAAAAGTTGCAAACTGATAGTGAAGTTTATTTTAATAGACCAGCTGGGTGGGAAAAGTTAATTAAGCAGTAATGAGTGGATAAATAATAAGTGGATGTCAGGAAAAGATACGGTGGAAAGTAGGATTCCTAAAGAAGGGAAGTTATCCCAGGGCCGCAAGATGCAAATTACTAAACAGTAATTTTTTGACCTGTCATGCGGTCCTTCCTTCACGTGCAGAAGGGACATGTGATAAGCCCCCAAACTATCTCTAGGAGAGTAATGAATCTGTAGCATGAATGATGAGTCTATAGCATGACCAATATTTATTTATTCCATTTAAAGCTCTCGTAAGCAGACACCCTCATGATGGGAAAAAGGTGTTCTTAACTGGAGCTGAACATTTACAAGAGTGGTTCTTGTAAGAGGCCACAGAAAGTGTAAGGGATAGATGGATACTTATGGGAGCTTTCCCAGCTAACAATGAACACTGAGAGTGAAAAAATACCACCATAATAAATTATTTTTGTGGTGTTTTTATTGCCTTATGCAATGCTGTGATTATGCAGTAATGGTCTACTGTAGTACTAAAGGTAAAGTCTGCATTACGAGCCAAGTGGCTCATCAGGCAGGAGCTTATCCCAGTTTGAAAGGACTAGGAGTATTTCTACTCCCCCCTGGATGGGATGCTAGTCCATCACAGGGTTACCCCCCAGCATTAAATTCGCTGGTACCCATTTATAGACCCGGGTGGGGTAAGGCACTGTGAGAGTAGTGCCTTGCCCAAGAACAACTCGATGTCCCCAGTCAGGGCTCAAATCCGGACTGCTTGCTCCAGAGTCACGCACATTTACACCATGAGGCCACTGCACCTCCCACACTGCAGTACTAAGACTGGCCCTTAATGAGTAATGAACAAATCATAATTGCAAGCAAAATTGGCATCAGAGCAACAAAATGCAGTGATACAGTTTATGTTTGAGTACATACCCTTCTTAGTCGGACCTAAATAATTCCTTTCAGGTGTCTGCGAACAGCCTGGAGGGAATGGATAAATACAGAGTTTGTATGGGAGTTCAAACAGAATTCATTAAGTAGAGCTGTTCACTTACAAAAGCGTCCATCATCAAGAGAGTTTTGTATGTGATTATTTCAGGCCTCCATACATGTCTATCAACATTTCATCTTTCCTAGTTAATTGGACCATTGTAATTATCAAGATGAAAAACTAAACCTTTCATTATAGGACTGATTACAAGGAGTAATGTAATGCTAATCTCCCCTTTTGCTGTAGTGCCAGCCGTCAAGTTGGATTAGCCTTAACGTGATGTCTGGCATGTGCATTTCTAAAACAAGTACTGGTATGTCACCATTCCTCCCCTAGCCCCCTTTCCACTGTGGCTTAACATTACTTGGTAGTGGAACATGTTCCTAACACTCATAAGTTTATATTTTCTAGCCTGTAAAAGAGACTTCTAGGGTATACAGCTTTCCATTCTCTACTTGCACAAATCCTATAATACACCTCTTTTACCCTCCCACCAAAAGTTTGTATCATCGTTTCCAATTTTTCCCAGGACATGAAGATGCCCCGAGAGAAATCTAAAACAATGCCTATGCAATTTTTTTTTTTGGGGGGGGGGGGGGGGGGGGGGTTANTCAAGACAGCAGGTTTAGTTACCACATGTATACTGAATAAGTTTTCAATATTCCTGTTTATTTTGTTGCCGTAGAGGCAACATTTTTTTTTCTTTTTTTTTTTTTTTGGGGGGGGGGGGGGGGGTTAAAAGTGGTGTATAATGAGATTTGTGCAAGTAGAGAATTCTTTTCACCCTGTTTTCCAGGCAAGTAGCATACAATTACTTTTAATTTTTACAATTTCCAACTGCACCATTATAGTATAATTTTTGGTACTTAAACATTGATGGCCTTAAATTTGGAAAAATTCAACAACCATCTGAACTGATACCTTTTTTCACCCACCTACCCTGGAGTCAAGGAGATGACAACAAATTATTCAGGGTATCCTTTATTCCGGCAAATGATTCACAATGGAATCTATTTCTCATTATGTTTCTCTTTGTCTGTCTGTTGAACTATAAGGTACAGCTTGCCTTGCAGGCATAAACGGGAATGAAGTTGGGGAGGCGAGGGAGAAGGAACGCGTTCCTCCTCTCCGTCCACGCCCTCACCACCCTTCCCCTCCCCCGGCCCCACTCCGCTGCTCCCATATTCTTACCTCCCTCTCCTCTACCCAGGTAAGCCCTTATCTCGGAGGGCGGGCTCTGGGTACGAGTTAGGACTGCCTGGCGATTTCTGTCAGAAACAGACGCCACGGTAAGTATGGCTTCGATTACTGTACCTCGAGTACGAGGTCCGATCATGGTTCTTTCAGTAATTGTTATTGTTTTGCCCATTCTTCGTGATTTTACAAACATCAGTTTTGGTATTAATTCAGTCCTCGGTAGTACAAAGTCAATGGAAATAAAGATGCTCACCTACAACATTTGGTTTTCTGATGAGAAGATGCGGGAAAGAATGGAAGCCCTAGGGGAAATCGTGGAAGATCTTGAGCCAGATCTTTTGGCTTTTCAAGAAGTCACTCACGAAAATCTGGCAATCTTGCAAAAACAACGCTGGTTTTCGCGACATCACATGGTTCCACCCAACGTCGCGCAAGAAGGAAAGCGGCATTTTGTCGTTATTTTGAGCTCGTATCCTGTCGAAAGATGGCAAGGTTACCAGCTCAAGAATTCTAATCGCACACTTGTTCTAGCAGAAACAAAGAGCTCTATTTCATCAGTGGGTGTTAACTTTGTGATTGCAACCACGCATCTAAAACACTCTGGTTACAATACCAGAATACGCGAAGAACAGTTAAAAGAATCATTTAATATTATTTTTGCTTATGACAATGTTTGTGTCATGGGTGATTTGAACATTGAAGATAAAGTTGATGGAGATGTCATTCTGCCATCGCCATGGATTGATGCCTGGTTGTCAATGCCTGGAAATACTGATAGTAATGGGTATACTTGGGACCGAAGTAAGACACCATTTGCCTCAGTGCTGAAAAGAACTGTAAATGCAACTAGTTATCAAGCTCGGCTTGATCGTGTTCTTTGCAAACTGCTAGACTTTAAAGTTAAAGAGATGAGAGTTGTTGGTGATAAGGTGACAAAATCTGGTATTCTCCCCAGCGATCATTTTGGCCTGTTTACCATCATAGAACTAGCAGAGAAAACTGAACATAAACATGACAACAGTAAAAACTTGCAAACTGAAAGTGAGGTTTATTTTAATAGACCAGCTGGGTGGGAAAAGTTAATTGAAGTAAATCCTACTACCTTAAACTCTCAAAGAAAACAAAAGATTGTTCGAGATGGCTTATAAATGATTGAAGAAAGCTGAAGAAAGTGAAAATGATTTGAGTTCGAGATAACGTGATTCAACTGTAGGTAAATAACTTATATTTAGTGTCCAGAAATAAATAAGTGGAAAGTGGATTCCCAAGAGAAGAAACTGGAAGAAATTGGAGAATATTTTTAAAAAACACTGTAGAAATTCACTTGTTTATTTCAATTATCAAAATGTAAATTATCTTTTCTCCTGTCATCAACAGCTTTAGCCAGGTTTTCTATTGCCATTAGGTTATAGAAGCATAGCTTTAGGCACAAGCTTTCTTAAAGTTCGTTTTCTGAAAGAAATTTGTTCTTTTTAGGGGTGACATTTTGGACTGACAGTGTGTGTTAGTTGAGCTATAGAACTGAACCCCGGCCAGGGTCACTGTGTTGTGTTCATGGACAAGGCACTTTACTATCACAATGCCTAGCTTTCTCCACCCAGGCATATAACTAGGTACTGAGAAATTTTGTAGGGGTAAAAATAGATTTGAGCCACGCCCACAGAAGAAGATACTGGTTTAACACAAACATTCTTCTTGTTTGCTTTTGCCTTCTGATACTGTTACAGTTACATATTATTTCATCAAGGAACATGGGAAAATTGGCAACCACAACGACATTTTGAAGTCATCTTGAGTCTATTATCAAGTAGGGAAAATAACAGTCAAGATGTTAATTTATAGTGTGAAAGTTGTAAGAACATATTTAAGTGTTACTGTATCACAGTCTTAATAAGAGTTTGTAGGTGTCGACAGTTAAATTTGCGGAATAAACTTAAATGAATACTTTGGCATGAACTAAGTGAAATTGGAAAAAAGGGGAGAACATTTCACCTCTGATAAAGTATTAATTTTTTTTCTGAAAAAACTTGTTTTTCCATATGATACATATGGAAAGCAAAAGATTATTCTCTTTTCTTAAGCTGCCTGTTCCACCTAAGCTGGTAGGACCTTGGCTCTGGAGGCACATGATTTGATTGGCTATATTCTTGAACAAAGATTTTCAGTGATTCAATCCTTGTTTGATCAATAAAGCATTTGCCCAGAGCACCAAGAACAGACCTTACAAAGTTTATGAAGCAGAAGACATGATAAGAAATTTTGACTGGAAGTTCCATTCATATGTTTCGTTATGGCAGGGCATGTCAATTTTGCTCTTGGGCAAGTGAAAATGGAAGTTTGTTGGTCCAGTGGGCAAGTGAAATTAGCCGCAAAACTCTCATTAAAGATGAGCAAAACAATGAGTTGAAAGCATAGATTAATTTAAAATACATCCATTTGTGTCACTGTCCAGTATCTTCACCTAAGTGAGCTCATTTTGTTTCGGTCTATCATTGATCATAGACAGTACTTAGTAAATGATGTACATAATGTGTAGTTCCAGAAAATATCCATACCTCCCCCACGGAAGGGATTTTTTCTAACACCTCCCCACCCCCCCAGAAATTCCAGTTAAGCTTCATACATTTCTTTAAATTTTTTGGTCTCATAGAACCCCCACCCCCCAACAAATTCCAATCCCTTCTGTGGGGGGAGTATGGATATTTTCTGGAACCGCACAATTGATAAGGCATGAACATTGTGCACATATTGGGCAAGTATTATTTTAGTGGGGACAACTGAAAACTGAAATATACTGGCCCAGTTGGCGACTGGATTTCAGGGATTTTTTTTCCTGCCCTGGTTGTGAAGGTTTTTTTTTTTTTTTTAATAAAGAACATTTTTTATTGTTATTACAACACAAAAATCTTACAATACTTACAATAGAAACTGACTACAACAAAAGTACTTACACCTTACACTAATTACAGTACATTTACTTACACACATGCAATTATTAATCGTCACTCTTTTTACAATCACTAAATTAAACAAATTAATTCTGACATCTAAACTTAATCTCACTACAGTATAACTTTTAAGATATTAACATATTTTTTACATTTTTTAGCAATTACAAACGAGACAAATTAAAGAAATAACAGTTGCAAGGAAAATTTCGGACGTTTTGATATTTAAGAGGAGAGGCATTGTTTTCTTACTCAGGAGGAAATTTTTCGAGACTGTATCTATACCTGATTTTGTTAATGAAGTCCAGAAGGAGTAACGCATCCTCATTTAATTTTATGGA